GTCTGGGCTTGCGCTGTGATTCATTAATGGAAGTGCGAAGATAAGATGCAAATAATTATCATGATCATCATGAAAGATAAGGTTGTCTAATTACAACGATAAGGTAATTACATTGCGAATTACCTGGGAAGCGTAAATCACAGAAGCGAGAGAATTTTTTTTCCAACTAATAGGGAAAAACTTGTACAGTGAAATACCGGGAAGTGTTAGATAATATAATGCAAGGCTTTTGGGTTATAAGGAACTGCTGCCATAAGCTCATCATATCTATAAAGCAAAGCCAGACCAGATCTTTAAGCACACGCATTTTTTTATATATAATATTTACTAGATATTCTCATACTACAATAGAGATATAGCTACTCATGTTGCTTTTCCATTCATATGAAATGCGATCCCAAAGGCAAATAAATCATAAAAGCAGAGAAAAAAAAAAAACAAAATAGCCTCCAGCTGATAAAAAAAAAAAAAAAAAAAAAAAAAAAAACCTAAATTCAATATAAATATAAATATTTATAGAGTACATTCAACATTTGTCGGCTATTTACTTTTTGACTCAGATTTTACTTTTGATATTGCTCATAGAATTACTTAAGCTACATTTTTTATTGCTGTAAAATTATTTTTAGATATGCGCAGATGACTTCCATAATTGACTTTTCCAATTTTTCTTTAGCAAGCAAGCGTTGCGAAAGAATGAGCTAAGCAAAGGTGAAAAGAGCAGTCGACTCAGAAACGCCCTATAAATAAAAACTTATAAATAAACTATATAATATAATATATATTGAGCTAAAGCTGGCCATATATATTTATAAAGCTATTATAGAAATTTATATGACGTCAAAAAGTCGGCCAGATTCAATTTTAGAGCTATTGATTGTTTTATACATCAATTTTAACTAATGTGTTTGGGAAATAAATTAGCTTAAATTTGCTTAATTTTCCAGCAAAATTTCATTGACGCTTCGAGTTCTTGAAGCTAACCCACCGACACGCAACAATTTCATGGGCTTAGCTTAATTGACGACTTTGTAAATTTCCCAAACGATCCGCACGTGTCGCGCTCTACTATCATAAAGAAAATACTGGACTTTGTAGCGCCACACGCAAACATAATTTGCTAAACAAAATAACAAAGCGAAAATGAGTTAAATGAACACGCATAATTCTGCGGCGCAGGTGATTAATGTTTGCACGATTCCGTAGTCCCCTAGGCAAATAGAAGAGCAAACGCGATGAGAGTTACGAATAACATAAAGTCACATGATAAACGCGTGAATTTCATAAATTTCCAGCGACAACAGAAACGTGTGAATAAGCGAGCCGCACGCTTTGTTTATATGGTTAATCAGATCGCTGATAAACCCCAAAGCCAGAGAGACAACAATTAGCACACGAATTCTTTACCTTACTTTTTTTATATGATGATCGAAGAGGTGCACATACTTAATTGATGGATGACTTGGGGTAGTGCGTGTGGGTAGGTTTTTTACCCATTTCATGTGTAACAAATTCATAAATGCACACAATGGAAAATATTAGTTTAAACTACTTTTTATTTTAATCAGCTTCGATAAGACTCTGATTGATATTTCCTATTACCGCCAGGCAATAAATCAATTTTGCTGAAAACTGATATAAAGTTTTTACTATAATCGCATAACTATAACATATTATCTGAGAGCCACTTTATATACAATTTTCGAGCTCATATTTTATCGATGAATATGTTATGAACAACTGTTTATAGAAAAGTTGAGTTCTAATCAAATTTCAGAGCTTTACTTTTATATGAATAGCGGAACTTTCCTACGATTTGAGTCAGATATATAGTTTCTCGCTTGAATTACATCAAATTGATGATTGATTGAGAATTGTACAAAACATTCGATTATATAGCTACGACTATTTGATGGATATCTAGACAAACATTGATAAAGCTATTACTGCATCTAACACATAATCAATTTGATCTATAAATAGAGAAAGTTCAGTGGGTATAAGAGAAGATCGATTATAAAATATGTTATCGATTATTGTAGTAGACATAAACAATGAGAAATGAACTTTCGACTGGCGAATCGAAAGTTGAAAGAAATGTTTCTAATATAAATTGATAGCCCCGCGTATTTGGCATTATATACTATAGCGTGGCACCCACTTGAGCGATAAAGCTCACTATCGCTAGCAATTGATGTTAATAAAAATGTGCACCAGTTTCCGCTCACCCATATAAAATGGAATCAAAAAGTATGTGAGTAAAATAATTGCAAGTGGGTCGCACAAAGAGCACAGGGACGCGATATGGATAAAGTATAAGTATCAGTATATATAGAGTATAATCTTACTTATGTATTAACCACGCCTACGCACCTGTTATTAAAACAAAGCTGGAAAAACACGCAGCTGATAAGCCAGGCATATTTATATAGTTGTTCACGATTATACACACAACTAGCTGCCACGCTCATCACAATGTTAAAAAATTCCAGCTTTAGGTCTATCAGCAAATTAATCGTAAATATTTGTACCGCTAATTTATTCGCGAATCTCGTCTAGACCTGAGAGTCTATAAATAATATCAGCCAATAACGTGCGCAAATATAAGCTTGCTTTGTAATGCATCTAGTACATCTATTTCTCTATTAATAGCTATTTCTGTTACGTTATACCAGGGTAACCCCAACAGTAAAACAACAACAATAACAGCCAACCGCATATTTTGTGAGTAAGGTAAGGTTTATGGGTTACGCAAAGCAAGCTTTGTCACAGTCTACTCAGAATTGCATTTGTGTTAAGCGACTGTTAGATATGTTTGCATATATTCAACTTAACAGCACTTTAGATATCAGTTGCAGTGGTCATTTACATTGCCTCTACTCTGCATGTTAAACTTTGATCGATCCTTTACAGACTTGCGATAGCCAACATTATTAGAGCTTTTGCATTGCTCGATATTAGCAGTCAATGTTATCCAACATATTAGAAGTTTCTACCAACAGTTGTATATATTATTGAAACTTAATATTATTTTTAGCACGAGTGCCAAAAAAAAAGAAAAAAAAAAACAAAACAAAAGACAAAATGCCTTTTGAACATCCCTGAACCGGTTTATATATAGATTTCTGTTCATTCACCAAAATGTTCAATGAAACTATTCAATTCAAGAAAAATCTCAGAAACGCTTATCAATTCTGCTCTTTTAGGTCAGGCAGCATTATAAATTGTACTGCCAAAATTTCTTATTCTATACGGCTCTCATGAGATGGCATTGATCAAAATGCCAAATGTCGAAATCCTACAAATTTTCCTACTTTTTATATTCAACAAGAATCAAATTGATCTATTGTTAAGAAACATTTTCATGGATTATTGATCTTAATACGCTTTTATAAACAGTGATTTGTTATTTAAAGGCTTTGATAGATAAATTGCATAAATCTAGCTTAAGCAAGATGATTTATTATTAGATGACTTTCCCTCATTATGTCATCTTGTTACTAACGACAAAATTTTAATCAGTTGTTTATAATCATTTGCTATTTACCTATCAAGCTCAGATTCCTTAACGCTGCCACACAGCTATTTGTGGCTGTTGTCAGCCTGTCAACGACGACGTTTGAAGGGCCGGGGCAAAAGTCTGGATCATCCACATCAAATATGATGCCGTCATCCCATTCGCTGACAATATGAGTTAATTTTGATAGTTGCTGCGGCGGCTGCAACTGCTCTTCACAGTCGGCGTTGTTGTTGTCGTTGATGGTGTTGTTGGCGAACGAGTTGTTGTTGTTGGTGCCACTTGTTGCAGAGCCTTGTTTCATCTGTGTGACAAACAAAGAAGACGCAATTAAAACGGAACTATAAAAAGAGCACAAAACAGTCAATATTTAAAGTATTTAACTTGGGCATACCCTGTAAGTAATGATTTTATATATTCAAAATTCATGGCACGTTATTTCTTTTATTTAGGTACACATATCTTATTCGAGCATTCGCTTTACTCTGCCTTCGTATATACCCTGTTTAGTGATACTTTAAATGGGTATAATCAAATGATAAGAATTCACATATGAGCTCAAAATATTTAGCGCTATGCTTTATCAATTTGCTTAATTGCAATATGCCTCGTTAAATAATTCTACAAGTATAGGGTATTATTGAAAAGAAAAATGGTTATACATACATACATATGTACGTGATGCTATGCAAATGCCAAACGACACACGTGGCTGCAACAGCGACACAAATGCAATGACAAAGAAGACGCAATTGTTAAAAGAACGCTTAAAGCGAACAAAGTGTCGAGGGGGGTGTGAGGTATGAAACCAAACTGGAGCGACAGGACAGCTGTTGCTCGCTGTTGGCTGTTGACTCGAGAGGTCAAAAAACATACACAGAAACACATGCATGCACACATACAATCACACACGCACGGTAGTGTGCGTACGTAAATCTTGCAAGTAATGCCGCTTGGCAATGCAACAGAAATGCATATGCAAAATCAATAGATGCATTATTTAGGTGAAGGCTGCATCAGAATGTGCTGCTCTATGCACATATACATATACATATGCATATATATAATATATGTGCCATTAGCTGCAAAGCAAAATGAGCGTAAACGCTATTGTTTTTGCAAATTGTGTTTGCCAGTACGTCTCTCTCTGTATGTGTGTTTAGTGTTTGTCTTTGCATGTGTCTGTGGATTTGTGTGCGTGGGCTCGGGTGCACTTACCCCAAAAACTTACCTTACTTCAAATTACTCGATACGCCAGCTGCCTAGTGCTCAGCAATTAGTTTCCTGAATAGCAAACGGTTTTGTGCGTTCAAAATTATTTATTATTAATACAGATTAGCAGCAATTGCATTAATTGTTAAATTATTTGAAATTAAATGTTATGCTTGAATCTTGCCAGCGGACTACCTATTTAAACATTCACAGCGACTGGGTGACACTGGGCAGACAAAACAAAGGTTGGCATCTCCTCTGATCTGTTGCTCAGACATTTATCGGCCGTCATCGGTGTGCCACCACAAAAAATAAGACTTCCAATAAGAAAACATTAACTCATACACAGTAAAGCAATTTTTGGCAAATATTAACGAAATTCAATATTTGTGAACCTATTTAAAATGCGTTCAAGCCTATTGCCTCAACTGGAAAGAGTGCAATAGACATAGCTGATAGAAAGCCAACGCAATCGAAGATAAATTTTCCAGCCGTGCAATTGTATATGTGGGACCCACGACCATGGACGAGAATATGTGGTAAATAAACACTATGAACAGTTCTAAATAGCATCAAATGTAAAGTGTCAAATAGCTTTTTTGAGAAATTTGTGAAGAGGACTAAGCGATGGCCTTGCTGGCATGCCTATGCAAACGCGTGCGACAGAGTAAGCGAACGTTTGTGAAGAAATCACCAGCACTTGAGTCAGCAGCCAAAGAGATAGTCAGCTTTTTAATGTTATCAGCAACAGCTGTGCCAAATTGGACACGTTGAATTATAAGCGCAAACAAACGCATTACTTCACCTTTGCGAGAGAGAAAGAGAGAGGCAGTGAGAAACAGAGAGCAAGCTGCGTGGGTGGGAAAAAGCTGACTGATCGGTCGAAAGTTCTCTTTCGTAAAAGGCAGAAAGCTTTAGCAATCTAAATATTATTCTCTCTTTGACCCGCATTGAGGATGTCATATACAAGCGAGAGCATTCATCATATTTATCCCCCTCTCTATCTCTTCCAGGATAATTGAGCTGGAGTCAGCGCTGCTGGACGACTGCAATGTGAATGATATCTATAGCATTTGCCAGGGCAAGCCCCTACCGGAAGCTCTCCGTCCGGATGTTTGGCAAGTGTGTCTGGATGTGAGAAATAAGAACGACCAAATGTCGCTTTTCAACGAGATCTACGATTTGCCCTTTCAAAGTCAATTGCGCGAGGATTGTCAGCGATATGTGGACCGCATTGGCAATGATGAGGAGGACAAAGTGTCGGTCGTCTCCGATCTGGAATCGATAATGACTTTCTATTGCAAAAATCGCAACTTGCAATATGAGCCAGAGAATGGTTGGATCGAACTGCTTTTGCCCCTTTGCGCCCTCAAACTGAATCGTTCGGATACCTTCAATTTATTTGAGGCTATACGGGATACGTATATACCCAAAGGCTGCAAGCCCAAAGGCAATGTCTTCCATGTATTTCGCTTGCTGTTGCTCTATCACGATCCGGAACTGTGCACTGTGCTGGACACCAAGAAGATCACACCGGATCTCTACTCCCTGACGTGGTTTCAATCGCTCTTCGCGTCCTGCAGCAGTCTGTCTGTGATCATCGCCATGTGGGATTTGTACTTCCAGAATGCAGATCCATTTATGGTCTTCTTTCTGGCCTTGATCATTCTCATCAATGGACGCGAACAGATTATGGCCATGAAGGGCTCTAGCAAGGAGGAGATCGTCAAGTTTCTCGTCAATATGCCGTGCGCCTTGGAGGTGGACGATGTATCAGATTTTTGCTCCCTCGCGCAATACTATGCACTTAAGACCCCAACGTCCTTCAAGACCGACTACCTGAAGGCTCTATATGGCAAACAGAATGATACGCCGCGCAGTCAGGAGGAATCCAATAAGGTATCCCAGGCATTGTGCCTGCCCGTCTCCGTCTACGAGCTGGTCGAGAATTCGGCCACAGAGTTCCCAGTGCAGGATGCCGTGCGTTTCTTTCTCGTGGACTGCCGTCCAGCCGAACAGTACAATGCGGGCCATTTGTCAACAGCATTTCACCTGGACTGCAACCTGATGCTGCAGGAGCCGGTGGCGTTTGCCACTGCCGTCCAGGGTCTGCTCACCGCCCAGAAGCAGGCCATCGAAGTCAATTCTAATGCGGGCGGCGAACATTTGTGCTTTATGGGCAGCGGTCGTGTGGAGGAGGATCAATATACGCACATGGTGGTGGCTTCATTCCTGCAAAAAAACACACACTACGTGTCATTACTAACAGGCGGCTATGCCTCCATACACGATTACTTTGGGGATCACATGGCCGACTGCCTGGAGGATCACAGTGTCAGCAAGTGTCTCGTGTGCCAGCAGCACAATGTCAAGCAAGTGAGTGTAATCCCTGTCGCTCTTCAACTCCAACTCTAAACACTCCTTTTCCATTTACAGTCCAAGCCAACGACGCTCAAGGCATCGACGCCCTCATCAACAGACCTATTTAGTAAATTCTCCGCAGCCATGAAATCGAAATCAGCCGAGGTTAAAGGCCGTCTGCTGGACATCATTGTTAATCCCAGTTCGAATGGCTCTGGTGCGGGCGCAAGTGGAGCCTCCAACAATGGTGCTGGCCAAACGCAGGCCGTGCAGGAGCGCCATGTTAGCGCCAAGGAGCGCAATGGCAAACGCTATCGCAATGTGGCGCCCGTCTTCAGCATCGATGATGAGAACGAGGATGCGTACGACCCAGCTGAGAAGGATGCGCCCCAACCCGCTGGCGTTAGCAAGGAGATTGTCAATCTCAATCAATATTTCAAGACGGCGGACATTATAAATGCGTTCAAATGCCAAGATGTGCACATCAATGGCTATATGTACGATAGCCATCTGATTATAACGCCCACACATTTGGTGGTGCTGCGCGAACTGGGACGTGGCCAGGCACAGATTATGGTGCGTCGTCCACTCGCCAGCATTGTGAAGATCACCGCCAAGAAGCGACATCGCGATTTGATCACATTCAAATACGGCTTTCCCGATGGCGATGGATTGCTCATCACCGATATGGATCGGTTTCTGATACCAAATGCCGCAGAGGCCACGGCGCTTGTCTCCAAACAAATTGTTCATGTGCTTGACAATGCAAATTAGATAAATCAATAGATCAGGCCTCACACACACGGACACCCGCATATGTTTTCCCTGTAACCCCTACACACACACACACACAGACAGAAATACAATTCGTTTAGACCTTTTCTAGTTATCTATTTATTGGCAATTGTTTCCTTGGATTAGCCGACAAGTTGTAGCCTTAGCTTTTCTATTCGAATGAATCGGACCCTGTTATATAATTTCTTCTACCCTTTTCATTGTTAATTCATAATGCAAATGTAACATACGACACTTTCAAATGCGCAAGATCGTTCACCCTTGACCTTTCAGTGCGATTCTAAAATTCTAAGTGCAACCAAAAAGAATAAGAAAGAAAAACTAAATTAGAAACAAAGAAATCCCGAGAACACTTAACTTGGACGCCTTGAGACTTACAATATATGTAAAGATTATAAAAAATATTTATTGCAATTAAATGAGGTATAAATAAACATGTATTATATTCAAAAACAACAAGAAAAAATTGTATTTCATTTACAAAAATTTTAAACTGGGCTTCGGTGAAATCTAAAAGAAGCGCTTACATGTAAAACGATTCGCTGATAGTTTCCTTATCTCTATTCAAGTACTTAAATTCAGTTGAGAAGCTCTTTATTCTATTTTCAAAAAATGTTTATTTGTAAAAAAATTTATTCTCAACATTATAATTAAAATTTAAAAATAAACTGGAAATTTTTTTATTTCTTTCTATTTCTATTAACAAATGTAATTAAAAAATGATTTTAATTTTAAATTATTAAATTATTAAATTTTGTTCTTGGTTTTTTTACTTAAAAACAAATTTGTTGAAATTTGTACTATGAATTAATTATGAATACCGAATTTGAAATATGCTGTTGCTCTCTGATGGTAAGTACTGAAAAAATTTTATTGTTTTTTTTATACTTGATTAAGATTAAAAATACTTAAGACAACAAAATAATAATTAAAATAATTACCTATGTAGGATTAATACAGAAATGAATAGTTAATAGTTAGACCATCAGCTGGAACTAGAGATAGAACTAGAACTGAAACAGCCAACACCAAAGTGGGCAACAGTTACAGTTTACGTTACATACATACAAAATAGAACTCAGTTATTTGAGGGGCAACAGCGAATCGTGTGCAGACATGGAGCAGGCGCACTAGTGCCAGTTGGCCAGGCTAAAGTACGTAAGCAGAGGCTGTTAATGCCCCTCGTCGTTGCTGTTGTTGTTTAACTGTGCAGAGGGCCGCAATTCTTATCAATGACAATGACGTAGATGGCGTGCAGAGCACATTGAGCCGCTGCCTTTGGGCTGCAAAGCGAATTTGGGGCGATTGAACATTAAAAACTGTTGCACCACAGCAGCAGACAGGCAGTTCATTCAGAACAGTCATAGCACGCGGACAAGCAGCCAACTCTGAACTCTCAGCTCGAACGCCGAATACCCAAGCAGCACTTGAAGAGCCATTAGGCAGTCAGGCATTGAGGCATCTACTACAGCTACAGAGGGTCAACCAGGGCAGGCCCATCTAATTGGGACACCGAACAAAAGTATTTCGCTTGTTTACCAAGTCTCCTAAGTGTGTTGTGTGCGCGTGTGTGTTTTCGTATTGTTTGTGCCACAAAATGCAATTGTCTGTGGGAGCAACCGCTAATGGTCGGTGCCTGATGTGGGCGCTGTTTTTGTTGTTCGTCGGATTGGCGGCAGCGGTGCCAGCATCTGTGCTGGCCCAGAACACGGAGCTATCCACCAATGCGAACAACAAGCTTCAACAGCAACAACAACAGAGGCAACAACAACAGCAACAGCTACAGCAACAGCAGCTGCGGGAACTACCGGCAGGTAAGTGCAAAAAGTTCAACAATTTTACCTGCCTCGAAGGTGCGTGGGTCGGCACGCTTTGCCTACATACGTCAGGCAACGTGTAGTTAATGTTAAAGGTCATTTGAAAATTCACATTTGAAGTCAAAAAAAAAAAACAAAGAAAAATGGACATGCACGTTTCACAGGACCCGCCGTTTAAGTGAGTGCGGCGTAATCATTCACTGTGCACAGTAGAGCCTAGATAAAGTGTGCAGAAGTATAGCAATTACAGGGAATGATGCTCCAAGTAGCAATTGATTGTGTTTGGATTAATATTAAATGTAAGCTGACAAACAAAATGGAAGTAAATGAATTGAAGGTAGCATATTTATAGCTTATTTACTAAAATAATCTATAGATGAAATATCTTCTTTGGCTTGCTTTACTTAGGATTAATGTTTTACACATTAGTAAAAATAAAAAAAAAAACTAAATAAATATTATTATATGTATGATGAAAATAAGAAACTGAACTAAAAGTAAAATATATCTCATACAAAAACATATATAACAAATATACATATAAACAAAAAAGTAAAAATATCTTTCTTATATATAAATAATAGAAGTAATAGCAAACGAAAACATAACATTTTAGAAAACTAGAATATGAAAAAGAACTATATATATTGAACATATATTTTTCGACTATACGTTTCAGAGTTCAAATAATTAAAGAAAATCGTAAAATATGTCCAACACTTTATACACATATAATTAATGAGTCGCATATACATATGTATATGTATGCTAGCATATGCATAAATAAATACAATTTCTCCAGTAACTTCCCATAGATTGTCGTCTCGACTTTAGGTAAACAGAATTATTTAGACTAATATTTTTAAACAAAATACTAAAGCTAAAGGTTTTTCATAAAATTGTCCATAAAATGCATCAAATTAAATTCATATTAAGTATAATTCAATAGCGCTTCAACAAACAACTAATGTGCGGCTTAACTATGCAGCACTGTACATGTATTTGCGTACATACATATTTTAAAGTCAATGTATATGTGTATGTGTATGCGTGTGTGTGAATAACTTGTAAGTTGAGCACATTAAGCAAAACGCCCACGCGCGCTTTAAAAGCAGAAGGCAACAACGGCACCACCTAGCATCCTGTCTGTGTTTTTCATCTCCGTTTGATCAGCAAGCGAGCGCCTCGCCCTTTGTTAACGCCCAGCAATTCGCCATTTCTCTTAAGAGCAGCAGCAGCGGCAGCGGCAGCGGTGCTTTCCATTTTCCGCTGTTGGGCTTGCAGGAAATTGCGTAGGTGTTTTCTGCTACACAGCTGGCAAGCAGCTTGAAGCTCAGCCGATTTTGCCAAACAAAAAGGAGAGCAAGAAAAATAAACGAAAATAAATTTGGTTCTGTCATTGTTGTAGTTGTTGTTGTGCACTTCAGCACTTCAGAGCGCTGGCTTAGTGTAACATTACAATCATTGCGACTCATAATACACTAAAATACACAAGCACATCCAAACACACACACACACACACACACATATACAAGCGCGCAGCTACACCTACGCAAAGCGTGGGCGGCTGCTGCACAAAATGGCGGCCAGACTCTTTTGGTATGCAAGCTAGCGAATATGTGCGAATGTTTGCTTATGTGTGTCTGGCTGTGTGTGTGTGTGTATGTGGGTGTACGTGCGCGCGATTTCATTTCTATTTTTAGACATCCCGTTGGAGCAGCAGTTTTTGCTGCCTGACGCCATTTGCGTTTGTATTGGTTTGCTTTTTCGTGCGCGCTTAAAAGTAGGCAACACTTTCTGTAGCCCAGCCTTGACGCGCTTCGCTCAGATGTCGCTGCCACACTCTTCATTCAAGCATAACTCCGAGATCCCATCCCAGGACCTCCTTGTGCACATAATAAATATTTATATAAGTCGTTGGCTCTGGCATTTAGCTAGCACTTTAGCGAGCATATGCCATTGTGGGCATTCATCAAATATTCATTGTGGCTGTCAATTGCAAAGTCAAGGCTCTGGTTAACCGCAAACTTCTAAATATACATACTATAAACTGAAGTCCGCAGAGAATGAATGAAAGAGAGAGAGAGAGATAGAGAGATAGAATGAGACTGAGACTGAGTGGCGCTCGCATTTCCATTTTCATGTCACAAATTTTCCATATGCCGTTATTATTAAGTTATTTTGCAGGCCGCACTGCCTGCGGATACATTAATTGTGCTGTTGCCAACGTTCTTTGCTGCTTGTTATTCAGCAGCTGCTGGCCCAGGCCGAGCAGCAACATGAAGAAAAGCAACAACAGGCTTAGCCAAGGGGCGCACCCACAAAACCGTCCAACACACTCACAATTTCTGTATGTGTGTGTGCGTGTGTGTTTTGTGTGTGGCAAAAATTGAAGAGCAAACAACTTGTTGATATTTTTACAGTTCACTGAACATTTTCATGTTAGCAGCAGCAGCAACAGCAACAACAACAGCACAAAATGGCGGACAATGACAACGCGTAGAGCGACGTCAGCAAACGTCAGCGCGTATAATTTAGCTGCCTGTTTTTTATATTTATTTATGCCCCTGCACTGCTTCCACAGTTCCAGCAATTCCTTGTGCCCGCAGGACAAACGCACAGAGCAACAGCACTGGGAATATTTTTCATTCAAACCAACTGCCCCACTCGCTCCCGCTCCAGCGACAGCTTGTTTTTCCTGTACCTAGCCAAGGTTTTAGGGCTGTGACGAAGCTCTGGGCTCTTGACAATACAAACATATGGTCAAGCTGCTTGCCATAACGAACAGCAGCTAGAAACTGGGTTACTTTACAGACGAAGGCCATGTAAGCTTCTTAATGGAGAGAAAACTTAAAAAAAAAAATAATAACTTAATCAACCACATAATAAACTGCTATTCACTGAGACCAGAGATTTCAGACTTTACGTATACATTTGTTGTATGTTTATTAATGTGTATAAAACAAAGAGAGATGTGAAATGACGTACGATCGGTTTACTCTTTGAACTAGTTTGAACTAGTAAAAGGCTTAAAATATAAAATTTCTGAATGCATATCAGCTCTATGCGAAGTATTTATGATTGGTCCTCAAAAAATCTTTTTTTTTCTCTTTTATATTTCTTTTGCTTATGAAAGAGCAGCAATTTTAAAAACTTATTCGTTAAGTAAATATCATGTCAACTTAAAATTTACAGACCTGAGATTTATCTTGTAATTTTTATTGTAAGTTCAATGAATATATTAGTTACCTTGATCCACACTTACGCTCTCCCTACCAAGGCAACAACAATATATCAATACATATCACCCCATCATCATCATTTTGACTCACAAAACTGCAACTCATGAATAACAAACAAAAAAAAACTCTTTCTGCTTAGCTAAATCAGTTCAGTTACATCAGAAATGTGGGCGTCGGATATTTGAGGCAGATAAGTGATAGCCTATATAGTGGGTCTACTCTGTTTAATTATTGCAATTGGGGCATATGTACTACATATAAATCATTGTTGATCATTTGTTTACGCGCTGGTTTTTCTTATCGCAAAATATTGCCATGATAAATGTATAAAAACCATTTCAAATGTCGATTGAATATGCATATATGTAAATGGATTGCTAAATAGATAGAGAACAGGAAAAACCCTCCAAAATACGTGTAGCATGTAACGCAAGGCCTTATGAGTGATGCGTGTGTTAAGAACTAATTCGAATTGAGTTAAATAAACAAAGTTTGATAAGGCTGATAGCTAATGATTTTTGAAATCGGCGGAAATGTCTCTGATTTATGACAGCTATGATTGGTAAAATGAAAACTAGGATAAATTTGCTGAGAACTAGAAAACTAGAGAGAAAAATCGCTTTTATTATTAAAAAAAAAGAATTAAAAACACAAAATGTTTTAAATACATACTCCAGAAGAAACAAAAAAAACAAATTGGAAAAAAAAAAATAAATGAAATATATAAAATAACATTAAATGTATACAAAAAATGTAATAAAAATGTAAATTAAATTAAATTTATATAATAAAAACATTATAAATTCCAATTTTTAGCCACCAATTATCTATAATCTGTTTACTGTTATTTGCTTAACACTTCTCCCAAGCAAAAACAGCTCGTTTAACATATGTAGGAAACTATTAGCATAGATGCCCTTTTTAATTCAGTTAACACCGTAGTTGATTGCGGCTGGTGTTAATTCGCGTTTAATTGCCAGCTACGAGACGTTAGATTATCAGGTTGAGGTCGAGCTGAGTCGATCCAATTAGCATTGCGCAAGGGTCGACAGTAAATATGATTAGGGATAATAATGTCAATGGGTAGCTGTTGTTATGGGAATAAGCCAACTAGCTAAATGCTGCGACTGCCAGCTGCTTTCGAGCATAAACATGGCTAATAGCAATTAGTGGTGCGAGCAATAATGCAAAAAGAAAAAGTAAAAGAAAAAACTACGAAAGAAATTATGGTAGACAGCTTGGCTAATTGCTTTTGGACGTTTATTGAATCAAGGAGCGCAAATTGAAATACGCAGCGACCCCTAAAAGCACGCAATGGCAAATTACATTACATTTTCATTTTCGAATTCAATTTTAGCAGTAAAGCGCGCTGAGGAAGGGGCAAATAGTGCCACGGTGCCACCGGCCGATAAGAAGTCAAGTCCGGAAATTGTGCCAGCCACCTATAGCAATTCGCCCGCGCGTAGTGGCCCCAACGAGCAGCAACAACAGCAACAACAGCAGCCACAGGCTGGTCTCTATTCGCTGCCCAGCAACGATGAGATCTTGGCCGCGGTGGCAGCTGCCGCCCAAAACAGCCAACAGCAGCTGCAGAGTGAGCCAACCGCCTTGGAGGAGGCCGTGGCCAGCTCCACAATGCGCAAGCGTGGCATCAACTACGAATACAATCCGTATATGAGTGTGAGCAACAACGATTATGGCAGCGATGTGCCCGCCGGTGTCTGGGCCGACGACTATGAGCCCAGTGCGCCCGTCAACTACAACGGCTACAACAGCTACAACAATGAGCGAGAGCTGCAGGAACTGGAGGACTATACGCCGGACCGACATGGTAAGCAGCCAATTAACATAATTCTTGAGCCACTTCAGTAGCTTTCCCTCTCTTTACTTCCTCTGTCTACTTAGCTAACACGCCCACTGGCCGCAACAAGGCTTATGATAATCTGCAGAATCTGCTCAATGCCGAAGCCTACCTGGAGAGCATTCCTCTGTCTGTGCCATTGACCTATGCCAATCGCAATTACAATTTGGATGAGCGCAACAAGCGTGGCCTCTACTACAACTTGGCTTCAGCTAATGCCCCCAGCGAGAATATCAATCTGAACAAGTATCGTCGCTACGGTGATATGCGGTAAGTCAAAGATCTACAATAAACTAATAGCATAGAAAGACTTATACTGAAACTCAATCATTTTAATAGCAGAGCATGTACATGCAGCAAGTATAACATTGATACTTTTTATATATTATCCAATATAAGCTGTAGTTTTCCAATAAGACAATATCTAACATACTGTTGGCAGATAAGAATAATAATTCCAAAAGTGATCTAGCTTTCAGTTCTGATACTTTTCAGTGATTAACAGGCCAATATATTTTAAAATCATAACATAACAAACACAAGCCTGCTGTTAACATTTAGAAAACGCCATTGAGCCTAGCTTAAACATACACAGAGAAAAGTAAGCAAGCATTCTTATACGAGTTAACGGCTTGAGAATATGTTAATGACAGTTACTCTAAGTGGGCCTGCTCTGTTAACCAACTTTCTTATATGAAAATGGTTTAATTGAAACCAATATGACTGTTGCATTTAAATAATATTTTTCATAGGGCTTAAATGCTAAATCCTTAAAAAACTATTAAATTTAAATCAATTCCAAATTTCCAAAGTAAACAAGTAAGAAAGCTCTAGTCGAGACTGCTCGACTACGAGATCCCCTGAACCCTTGGAGCAATAGATATTTCAATAATTTTTCGCGTCTTTCAGCTTACCCAAGAAACACGCACACACACACACAGGCATACATACACACACACGCATACAGACACACATACACACACACACACGCATACATACACAAACGCATACACACACACATACACATACACACACACATACACAAACACATACACACACATACACAAACACATACACACACAAGCACCCACGCATAAAC